GAGTTCTCATGAATTCCCAATAGTCTGTTCATCTCCCCAAGAGGAGGTGCATGTCAGGCATGACAGGCAGGGCTTTTTTTTTTTTTTTTTTTTTTTTGTTTAACTCTACACCAAACGTGGGACTCAACCTACGACCCTGAGATCAAGAGTGGCATGCTCCACTGGCTGAGCCAGCCAGGCGCCCCTGGCTTTATTCTTTTTTAAAGACACGTTTATTAGCTGCTCACTCTGCTAGGCATTTTACAATGTAATATTCACAACAACTGTCTTCGTTCCCATTTTACAGACGAGAGAAACTGAAGCCCAGGAAGGTCCAGTCACGTGCCAGGAAGCTGTAATTCATATACCAGCTCCCATATTCCTCACCACTTTGGGCAGATTTAGAAAACTTATCACATTATGAAATTATCAAACTTTAGGGAAACTTTAAAAAAAAAATACTATCAGATTAAAAGGGTCCTTTGGGAAAAGTTAAGAGTTCTTATATTTGGAAAGTATTGTGATCTCATTCTCCTTCTGCCCCCTTATCCAATATGCAGAACAGTTGGAGGCCGTAGTTCAAACATTTGGAAGTAAAATGTTCTTAGTGTTAGGAATATGTCCCATGGCATGAAAGATGCTATCCCTTTACTGAGGTTTTTTTGAGGACCTAGCTTCCAGTGGTCAGAGGAATCTTGACCATTGAGAATACAGTGGCCTGAAGCCAGGATGCATGTCTTGGTCTCTCTCTGCCCCTCCCCTGTGTGACTTTGGGCAACTCACCATCCCCCCCCACCCAATTCCCCTCCACATAGATGATAATCCAGTCCTCCCTACCAGGGCAAGCGCAGACTTTGCAAGCAGCATTAGGGTAAATGATGTATGTCAAAACCAGCTCAACGTTGGCAGTTCCATATCATTCAACCGAACATATCCAGTATCAGCTATTTATCCTAACAGCTCTACGAGCTAGTACTGCTAATAAAACCCATCTTATAGATTATGGAGCTGAGGCTCAACTGTCCAAAGATTGTCACACCTGGGTCCGACTCCAAAGTCCATGCTTTTTCCATTTCCGTGATGAGTTGTGAAGTAAGATACCCAGTATTGGTATTTTCTGACAATAATTACTGGATATCAATTACCGCGACAATGCTCGGTTTGAGTATGAATTTCCTTACCATCCAGCCCTTTCTCTGTTACTTAAAATTTCCTTCCTCAACGACCAGACACTACGGTATGGTCCCATGGGAAACTACATATTTCTCTGCATAAGTCATCCTCGAAGAACTGGGTGAAATTTTAACCAACACGAATTTCTTCTTTGGGGATAAAAGCCAGGTTTGTTTGTTTTCTTTCCTTTTTAAAGACTTATTTGGAGGCAGAACTCAGCAGGCTGATTTCTAGAAGGTGGCGACCCGCTCCGCTCGCAGCCGAGCCCCGAGGGCCCCGGGCGGGGCGCAGGGGGCCCAGCAGACACCACGCTGACCCGGAGGCCCTGGCTCTGCCGCTCCGAGCTCCCAGAGGGTGAAACCTCACCTCTGCACCATCTGCGTTCCGGACCTGAACCACCACACACACCCCAACCGTGGCAGGCGGAGAGGTGCACGGCTAGGCGTCGCTGGGCTGCTGGGCGGCGGGAAGGACCCGCTCCCCGCACCGCGGGGCCGGGCACAGAACCTCTCCCAACCGCGGAGCCGCCAGACCCTCACCGGCAGACATGCCCCGCCCCGACTGATACCCCGCCCACCGCGGGCCCGCCCCGACCGAGACCCCGCCCACCGCGGCCACGCCCGACAGACAGGCCGCGCCCCGACCGAGACTCCTCCCACCACGGGCCCTCCCCGACCGTGACTCCTCCCATTGTGGCCCCGCCCCGGCGGAGACTCCGCCCACCTCGGCACGCTCCGACAGACAGGCCCCGCCCGCTCGCGACCCTACCCCGACAGAGAGGCTCCGCCCCTCCTCGGCCCCGCCCCCCGCAAGCGCCTAGCACACCCGCGCAGGTTCCGATTTGGTCTCGTCCGCCGTCGCGGCCTGCCGGGGGTTGACCTTTGCCCTGAGGTCGCCCCGCCTCGTCTCCCCTCGCGGCGCCGTAGTACGTCAGGCGCGCTGCGCTGGGTCCAAGATGGCGGCGCCCGTGTGCTGCCGGGGGCTCGGGCTCCGAGTGAGTGGGCGACGCTGGCGGGGTCCCGGGTCTGTGGTGGGGGCCTTAGTCTCCGTCTCACATCCCCCTCTTCTCACAGGTGCTCTCCTGGAGCCGAGAGCTGCCGTTCTCCTGGCGCGCTCTTCATACGTCCGCGGTCTGCGCCAAGGTGAGCGCGGCTGTGCCCAGGGGGTCCGGGGGTCCTGGGGTCGGGGGTCCGGGGTCCTGGGTCCGGGGGGCCAGGGACCCGGGGGCGGAGGGTCCGGGGAGCGGAGAACGGAGGAGCTGGGGACCCGAGGGCCCGGGGCGGAGGGGCCGGGGCCGGGGGCGCGGGGGTGGGGCACCGCAGCTTGGGTCGGTGGGCGCGTAGAGTCACGGCCCATCTCTGCTCCTAGAACCGGGCGGCCCGAGTCAGAGTGGGCAAGGGGGACAAGCCGGTGACGTACGAGGAGGCGCACGCACCGCACTACATCGCCCACCGCAAGGGCTGGCTGTCGCTGCACACAGGTGAGGGGCCGCGGTGCTGGGGGCCCCGCGGATGAAGTTCTCGGCCGTGGCTGTCACGCAGACACCAGATAAACACGTGCGGAGGCTGGACTCAAGTCCTCCTCGTTCAGAGGTCCTCATTCTCAGAGTTCGTTCTCCCGAGTCGCTGTGGGACGTGGGCAGAGCCGGCACCGCGCCCACACCTTCCCTGCCCGGGGCGCTGCCGTCTTCATACCGCTCATGGTGTAAACGAGTGTTCTCTTCGAGATCCGTTAGTGCCCCATGTTTAGTTTTGCGCTTTTTGGGGGTGACTTCGCTGCCTTAAAACAGCCCTAATGCTGAAGTGTGAAGCCCAAGAAGGGTGTGACGTACACTGGGGGGAAAATATGCATGTTAGGCAAGCTTCCTTCAGGCACGAGTTAGGATGCTGTTAGCAGAGTTCAGTGTTAATGGGTCATGTGTATGAAACAAGGGGTCTTTAGGCAGAAACACACATGAAACAAGGTTCTATATTGATGTGTCTTAACCAAGGGCATGCAGAAACCAAACCCCTTATATCCCCTAGGAGCAAGGGTTCAGTGTTCCCTAACTCATTGCTCATGGTGACCTTATAGAACATAACTACTGGGAAGTAAGGAGAATCAGCTGTGTTTTGTTCAGTATGAGGCTTCTCAACTTGGGTGTTTTGAGATCCATCTGTCTAGAGAACTTAAACTACAGATTCCTGTCCCCCCCGCCCTTTTCAGGTTCTGGTTCTAAGGGCGGGGGCTGGGTGTGGAAGTCTGGGGCTGGGTGTTGAGACTCTTTTTTTTTTTTAAGACTTATTTATTTGAGAGAGAAGAGAAAGAGAGCATGAGAGGGGGAGGGTCGGAGGGAGAAGCAGACTCCCCGCTGAGCAGGGAGCCCGATGCGGACCCGATCCCAGGACTCTTAAGATCATGACCTGAGCTGAAAGCAGTCACTTAACCAACTGAGCCACCCAGACGCCCGGGTGTGGAGACTCTTCAGGCATACTGTACAAGGTGTAGGAGTTTCAGGATCTGGGAACCTGGGGCTGGGTTTGGAGGTCTGGGGATGGATGTGGAGACTCTTCACGCATACTGTTGGAGGTGTAGGAGTTTTAGGATTTACACTGAGAATCCACTGATGGAGGCCATGGCCTGGCTGGTGAGAGAGCTCATGTCCCCAGTCTCAGAAGTAGCTGGTGGCCTCATCTCTCTGGGCCAAGGGATGGCCAGTGCTTCTATAAATGTCCAGAAAGAGTGGGAAAGGTCTAGACAGGAAAGGATCATCTGAGTTTTGTGCCCTGCTAAGGTCTCAATCTTCCCTTTTGCAAAACCAGGATAACTGATAATACCTACATCACGGGATTTGTTTGCGAATGTAATGAAATAATACTTTGAACTTCAAAGTGTTGTTATTTTTATTCCACTTGTAGAAGAAGAGAGAAGAAGCCAGGGTGGGGGTGGAATTGAGTGCCCAGTGCTCTTGGATGTTACCTCTGGAGTTTCTGCTGAGTCTTCGAGGTGCCCTTCTCCTTTCAGGTAACCTGGATGGGGAGGATCATGCTGCAGAGCGAACAGTGGAGGATGTTTCCCTCCTAAAGTTCATGCTGGGCACCTTCCCAGGGTGTCTGGCCGACCAACTCATCCTAAAGCGCCGGGCTAACCAGCTGGAGATCTGTGCCCTGGTCCTGAGGCAGCTGCCTGCACACAAGTTCTACTTCCTGGTGGGCTACAGTGAGACTCTGCTGTCCCACTTTTATAAATGTCCCGTCCGTCTGCACCTCCAGACTGTGCCCTCCAAGGTCGTGTATAAGTACATATAAGACAGTCCCCTTTTCTGCATCAGGCTCTAGCCTGCGAAGGACAGAACCATGTGGGAAAGGAGTGAAGTAGAAATGGGGAAATACATCCCCTCACTGTCTCGAGGATTCCTTTTCAAAGCTGCTCTTGAATAAATAGACCTTCCGTGTTGTCTTGCCTCTTGGTTTGTCTTTCCTCCTTAGAGAAGAGAACTAGGGTAGGGTTTCTTCGAGGATGCTCCAAGGCTCCCCAAAAGGCTGCCAGTTGTTTGAGGCTTGGGTAATAGCTGTAGTGCAATGAGTCTCTTGTCACTTTACCAGGAACTTTACCTGGAGTTCTTTGTTGTCTCTCAAAGTGGAAAAATCCATTTTTGGTCATTATAAAGTAACACTAATTTTTAAAAATTTTAAACAGTGTGGACATGTGTCAAGTCAACCATGAAAGTTCCTTGTAATTCTTCCACAGAGAGAACAACTGTGAACAGTTTTATTTCCAGATGTACTTTTTCCCTCCAGAAATACCTTAATGGATACTTGTTGCTTATTAAATAAGCTTTCAATTGAGCATCTACTCTATGCCACAGATTCTTCTGAGTGCTGGGAATCCATCAATGGACAAAACATTCTGTTCCAAGATCCCTGCCTTCATGACACTTGTATCCCCGTGGAGTTCGGCAGGGAGGGTTAGGCAGCACTGAGGACTCCAAGCAGGTGAGCTCAGTGCAGGAGAGCGTTTGAGGTGGTGGCATCTGCAAAAGCTGCACATGGTGCTGGGCGGTGGGCAGAGATTGCTGACCAACTTCACTGTGACACTGATCTTGACCCTCACCTTGACCATGACCCTGTTACACTTAACCCTGAACCTCAACCTCACACACCCTAATCCCAATCCTGACCTTGACTTTTTACCCTGACTCTGATTCTACCCTAGGCTTTACCCTCAATCTAACAGTAATGCCCTCCCTAATCATACCCACAACTTGACCTTCACTCAACCTCACTCTTACCTGAGGGTCTCACCCGGACCCTCCCCTGATCATGTCTGACTCTGACACTGATGTTGACTACATCCCTCACATAACCCTGATTTTCAGTCAGAACTTCACTCTGAGAAGATCCAAATGCTATCTGACCCTTATCACCACCCTGACCACGACCTTTATCCTAACTCTAACCCTGAGGCTTGCTTTGACTCTGACCATAATCCTCACCCAGACTCTCATCATGACCTTGACCATAAAACTGACCCTCACTCTGATCTTCCCTTATTGATAAACCAGACTCTGACCTTGACCCCAAAACCCAACCATCACCCAGACTCTGTCCCTCACACAGATCTGAGCCTGCTCTTAACCCTGGTCTTGACCCTGATTCTAACACTCGACAACCCTGGATTGATGGGACTGATTGTCATTTGGGCCCTGAGACACCCTCACACCTTGCTGACAAAACCCAACTTTAACCTGACCCTTCTGACCTTCACTCTTGCACTGACCCTGACCCTGGACTTCATGTGAATTTGACCCTCACCCTCTTCTCGATTCTCACCCTTACACTGACCTTCACCCTTCCACTAACAGTGATCTGACTGAACCTCTGCTGGACTTGATCATGTTCCTGACTCTCATGATCCTGATCCACCCACATACTGATCATGAAACTTCACTTAACCTTGACCTTGACCCTGAACCTTATTCAAATCCTTAACTGACACAGGCCCTTATCCTGTCCTCGACTATGACCTGATGCACAGCCTTGCTTTGATATTCACCCTATGGACTGACCCAGATCTTGACCCTGATCCATTTTTTTAATTGAATATATATATATTTATAAATATATATTTGACATAGTGTAAATTTAAGGTGTACATGTTGATACATTTATGTATCTTAATATGTTATATATCATAATATGATTGCAACAATTAGCACCTCTATCATATTACATAATTACTCTGTCTTTTTAGTCATTAGAATAATTAAGTTCTAGGTTCCTAGCAAGTTTGTTGATTATAATGCAGTATTGTTGTCTGTGCTCACTATTCATTATAAATTTGTACCCTTAGGCAACATCTGCCCTGTCCCCTCCACTCCCCAACCCCTGGTAACCACCATTTTGCTCTCTGTTTTTGCGAGTTTGGCTTTTTTAGATTACACGTATAAGTGATGTCCTACAGTATTTGTCTTTCTCTGTCTGACTTATTTTACTTAGCATAATTTCCACAAGGTCCAGCATGTTGTTGCAAATGGCAGGATGTCCTCTTTTCTCATGGCTGTATAATATTCCATTGTATTTATATACCACATCTTCTTTATCCATTCATTTGTTGATGGGCACTTACTGGCTATTGTGAACAATGCTGCAGTAAACATAGGAGTGCATATCTCTCTTCAAAATCCTCTTTTTATTTCCTTTGTGTGTATACCCAGAAGTGGAATCACACTGGATCATTGTTGGGTCTATTTTTAATTTTTGAGAAGGCTTCATATTGTTTTCCATTGTGGTTGAATCAATGTACATGCACACCAACAGTATGAAAGAGTTCCATTTTCTCCAGACCCTTGCCAGCAATTTTTATCTCTTGTCTTCTTGACCTATTGGCCTTCTGACCGGTGTGAGGTGATATCTCATTGTGGTTTTGATTTGCATTTCCCTGATGAGGAGTGATGATGAGCATCTTTTCATCTGTCTGTTGGCCGTTGGGATGTGTTCTTTGGAGAAAGATCTCGTTCTACCCATTTTTCAGTCAGATTGTTTGTTTTTTAATTTGAGTTGTATGAGTTCTTTATATATTTCCAGCATTAACTCCTTATCCAATGTATGGCTTGCAAAAATTTTCTTCCATTCTGTAGAGTGCTTTTTCGCCTTGTTAATGGTCCCTTTTGCTCTGCAGAAGGTTTTAAGTTTCCTGGAGCCCTATTTGTTCATTTTCACTTTTATCTTTGGTGCTGCTGGTGTCATATTCAAGGAATCATTGCCAAAACCAATGGTAAGGAGCTTCTTCCTAACATTTACTTCTAGGAGTTTTATAGTACCAGGTCCTTCTGTTTCAGTCTTCAATCTATTTGAGTGATTTTTTGTGACTGATGTAGGATAGGGGTCTAATTTCATTGCATGTACTCATCCAGTTTTCCCCACCTCACTTGTTGACAAGACTGTCCTTTCCCCATTGTGTGTTCTTGGCTTCGTTGTTGAATATTTTTTTGACTGTATAAGCAGGGGTTCACTTCTGTGCCTTCTATTCTGTTCCATTGGTCTATGTGTCTGTTTTTGTCTGTCTGTGCAGTAACGTACTGTTTTTATTCCTGAAGCTTTGTAGTATAGTTTGAAGTCAGGAAGTGTGATATCTCTGGTTTTGTTCTTTTTTCCTCAAGAAGGACATTTTAACAATATAAATTTTTCTGATCCATGAACAGAGTATGTCTTTCCATTTGTTTGTCTTTCCATTTCTTTGATTTCTTTCAGCAAAGTCTTCTAGTTCACTGTACAGACTTTCACATTCTTGGTAAAATTTATTCCTAATATTTAATTGTTTTTGATGCTATTGTGAATGGGTAGTTTTCTTTATTTCTTTTTCAGATGTTTCATTCTTAGTGTATAGGAACGTAAATGATTTCTGTAAGTTGATTCTGTATCCTGCAACTTGACTGAACTCTAACAGCCTTTTAGATTTTCTATATACAGAATCATATTATCTGCAAACAGTGACAGATTCACTTCTTCCTTCCTGATTTGGATGCCTGTTATTTCTTTGTCCTGCCTAATTGCTTTAGCCAGGACTTCTAATACCAAACTGAATAAGAGTGGTGTGTGTGGGCATCCACGTCTTGTTCCTGCTTCTTGAGGAAGGGCTTTCAATTTTCACCAGCAAGTCTAATGTTAGCCATGGGGTCATAACGTATGGTCTCTAATGTATTGAGGTACGTTCCTTCTATACCCGATCTGCTGAGGGTTTTTACGAAATGATATATTTTGTCAAGTGCTTTTTCTGCATCTATTCACATGATCATGTGATTTTTTTCCTTTTGTTTTATTAATGTGATGGATCACATTTATTGATTTGTGTATGTTTAATGATCCTTGCATTCCAGGGATAAATCCTACTTGCTCATGATGTATAATCTTTTTTATGTGTTCTTGAATTCAGTTTGCTAATTTGTTGAGAGTTTTTGCATCTGGATTCATCAGAGATATTGGTCTGTAGGTTTCTTTTCTTGTGGAGTCCTTCTGTGGCTTTGGTATCAGGGCAATGCCAGCCTCGCAAGGTGATTTTGGAAGTATTCCCTCCTCCTCAATGTTTTGGAAGAGTTTGAGAAGAATTGGTGTTAATTCTTCTTTGACTGTCTGGTAGAATCTCCAGTGAAGGTGTCTGGTCCTGGGGCAGGTTTCTGTGTTGGGAAGTTTTTGATTCCTGATTCAATCTCTTTAGTGTCTATTGGTCTGTTCAGATTTTTTATTTCTTCCTGATTCAGTTTGGTAGGTTGCTTGTTTCTAGGAATGGATCTGTTTCTTCTCAGTTATCTGAGTTTTTGGCTTGTAATTGTTTAGTCTCACAATCCAGTTTTTCTGCAGTCTCAGTTGTAATGTCTTTTTCTTTTCTTTTAAAAAATATTTTATTTATTTATTTGAGAGAGAGAGAGCGCACAAGCAGGGGGAGGAACAGAAGGAGAGGGAGAGAGACAAGCAGACTCCGTGCTGAGCAGGGAACCCGACGTGGGACTTGATCCCAGGACCCCGAGATCAGGACCTGAGCCAAAGGCAGACGCTTAACTGACTAAGCCACCCAGGTGCCCCTAATGTCTCCTTTTCACTCTTAATTTTATTTGGGTCTTTTCATTTTTTTTCTTAGTCTAGCTAAAGGTTTGTTGATTTTGTTTATCTTATTCATAGAACCAGTTCTCAGTTTCATCAATCCTTTCTGTTGTTTTTATCATTCCTATTTCATTTATTTCTGCTCTGGGCTTTATTGTTTCCTTCCTTCTGCTAAATTGGGCTTAATTTGTTGTTGTTGTTGTTGCTGTTTTTTCTAGTTCCTTGAGGTGTAAAGATAGATTGATTATTTGAGGTCTTTCCAATTAATATATGCACTTATCAGTTTAAACTTTCAGAGCTGCTTTTGCTGCCTTCTGTAAGTTTTTTTTTTAATTCTTTTTTTTTTAAAGATTTTATTTATTTATTTGAGAGAGAGAATGAGATATATAGAGAGAGAGCATGAGAGGGGGGAGGGTCAGAGGGAGAAGCAGACTCCCCGCTGAGCAGGGAGCCTGATGCAGGACTCGATCCCAGGACCCTGGGATCATGACCTGAGCCGAAGGGAGACGCTTAACCAACAGAGCCACCCAGGCGCCCTTTCTGTAAGTTTTGATATGTTGTCTTTCCATTTTCATTTCTTTTGAGGTAATTTTTTATTTTCCTTTTGATTTCTTCACTGACCCATTGATTGCTCAGAAGTGTGTTGTTTAGTTTCCACATATTAGTGGATTTTCTAGCTTTCCTTTTACTGATTTCTAGTTCCATACCATTGTGGTCAGAAGCTAAGATTTGTTGTGTGTCCTATCGTGCGGTCCTTTCTGGAGAAAGTCCCATGTGCACTTGAGGAGAATGCGTGTTCAGCTGCCGTTGGTTCTCATGTTTTAATCCATGGAACCAGTCGGCCTATTGATTGGTGAATTCAATTTTTAATATTTAGACTGATTATTGATATGAAAGAATTCAATCCTGCTACCTTATGTCTTGCCTTCTGATTGTTTTGTAGCTCCTTTGTTATTCCCCCCCTCTGTTTCTGTGTCTACCTTTGTGAAGTGCTGGTTTTCCACGGTGTGTTTGGTCTCGCCCTTTTCTTGTTTTGTGACTCTAGAGTTTTGCTTTGTTGTTACCATGTGGATTGCAAACAACATCTGTTATATAAGATAGTCCTTTTTATGCTGATAGCACCTTAGTTTCATTCCCTGTAAAGTTTCCACACTTTTACTCTTCCCCTTTAATTTTGATGTTAAAATGTACCTCTTCTTATGCTGTGAATTCACTGAGAAGTGATAGTGACTTTGGTTATTTTTCATGCTCTTTTCCTTTAGCCTCCAAACTATAATTAAGTGGTTAACACACCCTTCTAATACAGAGTTGCCATTTGTAATTGTGTTAATTGTTTGCCTTTGCTAGTGTTTTATGTACTTTCGTTTGCATTTATGTCACTAATTAGTGCCTTTTCATTTCAGCTGAAGAACCCCTTTGAGCATTTCCTCCAAGGCTGGTCTAGTGGTGGTGAGCTCTCTCAGCTTTGGTGTGTCTGGCAAAGCCTCTGTTCCTCCTTTCTATCTGAAGGGTAACTTTGCTTCATGAAGTATTCTTGGCTTGCAGTTTTTATCATTTAACACTGAATAGGTCCTTCCACTCTCTCTTGGCCTATGGAGTTTCTTGTGAGAAATCTGCTGATAGCCAAATGGGGAGTCCATTGTAGGTTACTTTCTTTTGTTCCCTGGCTGCCAAGATGCTTTCTTTATGATTGGCTTTTGAGAGTTTCATTACAATGTCAAATACAATGAATGACCTTCCTTGGAGAAGGTCTTTCTGCTTTGGGGGTGCCCACGCCCCAGTAGGGGCATCCTGCAGTGGGCAGACTCCCAGACATCCACAGGAACATCTCTTGCTGAAACCTGGAAGCAGACAGCAGGGAACACATTCTTCCAATGCCTTTGGTTATTGTCTGCCTCTTTCCCTTCCTCCAACTCCACTGGTCATGGACTCACTCACTCACCACTTTGGCTTTCCAACTGCACTGAGGGGCAGGCTGTCGCCAGTGTTGCCCTGGGGAGGGGCCGACTTGAATTCCTTCTCCTCTGACTCCAAGCCCATCTCTATCCTGCTTCAGTGGTATGCCTGGTTTTCCCCTCAGCTGGCTGGGCTTCCACAAATTCTCTATCTTCAGTGAGTGTTGCCCTGTTTTGTAATTTCCAGTTGTGCTTCCCCCAATCATAGCAAGTCAGGGTGGGGCAGACACATCAGCTTCCTTGGATCTGCAATCCCCTTCACGGTCCTGTCCATCTACTTTCTGATGCACAGGTGCATAGAAATCTGGGTGTCCTGGTGTGATGAGCAGAGGCACTTTTGTTTGATTATGAATGTCGAAGTAGTTGTAAATAAAAGGGGAGAGGAAAAAAGGGAAGACTTTTGCAGCCACCATGCTGATGTCACACTTGGCCCTGATCCTGACCCTACACTCACCCTATCCTTGGTCCTGAACATGACCCTTACCTTGTTTGACCTTCACCATGTTACTGACCTTGCAGTGTACCCTTAACCTGATTCTGAATATGGCATTCACCATGATACTGACCCAGAACAGACCCTTACCTTCACTCTGACTCTGATCTTGACTTTGACCTGGAACCCACTCTCATCCTGAACCTGAATTGGACCCAACTCTCACAGTAATCCGGACCCTAACGTTCAAAGTGAGTCATAATTTGACATTCACTCTGACCATTTACCTAAAACTGACCCTGACATTAACCCTGAAGCACTGATTATGACCCTGACCCTGTTCAACCTGATGCTTACCGTCACACTAACCTTGACCTTCGGAGTGACCTTGACCCTCACCCCCACCCTGACCCTGCACCTAACCTCAACAAGATTCTGACCCTAACCCTCACCTCCACGCTGAATTCATCCCTGCATTTGACCCTCACCTTCACTCGTGCATGGGTTTTCTACAGCTGGCATGATGAACTACCATCAACGTAGCGGTTTGAAGTAGCTCAGGTGTATTTGTCACAGTTTTGTAGGCCATAAGTCGAAACTAGGTCTTGCTGAGTTAAAACCAAGGTTTCAGCAGAGCCACATTCCTTTCTAGCAGGAAGGGATTGTGAGCCATGGAATGCAGGAGTCATCCACAAGGTGGAAAAGGCCTAGAGAGGGATTCTCCCCTGGAGCCTCCAGACACAGCCCTGCCCACCCACACTAGACTTCTCGGTGGCCCAGCTGTAAGATAATAAGTTTCGGTTGTATTAGGCCACTAAGTTTGTGGAAATTTGTTCAAACTTCAGTAGAAAACTAATACAGTACTCAACCTCTAGGTTAGGGTTAGGGGTTAAGGGTTAGGGTTAGGGGTTAGCTTGGGTTAATTTATTTGCCTTTTAATAAAAGATGTCAGTGCTTAAATAAGACATCTTTTCTTAGACCATTTTACAGTGAGGAAGAGTAAGCATGTATCCCAAAACGTTAGGGTGAAGAACCGAAGGTCCCAAAGCAACACCTGAGTCAAAACATCTTGACATGTATGTTTTATCTTTAAAGTTAATAAGAAATGTACTTGCTCTGTTGTTCTTCTCACGGATGGATTTGCTCTCCCTTTCATTCTGGTCTTGGCTCAAATGCCACCTTCTCAGAGGGGCTTCCGAATGGGCCTCTCTGAATATGATGGCCCCCTTAGCCCACACTGTTCTCTTTTTAGCCAGCATTCCTTCCTACTGTTGATCCCTTTATTATATCCCATGCTTTTTACAAGCTCCCAGGTAGAACTAGAGCTATACATTTGCACAAAGTAGATAATAAATATTTATTAATTGAACCAGTTTTACTCTGTGATATGTATGGCTTTCTTGTTCATTAAAAATACCAATGTTTTATCCGTGACTTTTTTACCTTTTTCAGAATGTATTTGGAGAAATCCATTGCTCCATGAATATACATCTGTCAATGCTGTGGCTTTATTATGTCGCGGTCATCCTATCCTGAGCTGCCAGGAGTGCTCATGACCCATGTGTGAAGCTCAGCTTCAAACCTTAGGGGTGAGTTCTGTGAGGGTTCTGGGGGGCACTTGGGGGGCTCTTCCTGCTGCACACCACCATGTCATCTGGGGCCAGAAGTGAAGTGAGCACCCACCTCTTTTGCTCTGCTTTTTCCATCTTCCTCTACCCTCTGTCAGCATGTGGGTTTCCCACCAACCGTATCTCCGCAGACAAACTCTGAGTTGGTCTATGGCTTGGGACTCCATTGACCTCACAAAATCTCATTATAACCAGTGTAAGAGGTTTCTGTGACACTGACATGACCTTTGTTCCCAGAATATGCCACATGAAGAGTCCCATGAGAGCCTGGGAGTCCAGAAAATTTAAATGCGTGATTATGGCTCGAGCTAAAGCCACTCAGGGGGATCATGCCGGAGGCCATCTCAGATCTCAGTCTGGCTCCGTCACCAATTTCCAGTACAATTTAGGTGAGTCACTTAATCTGAGCTTCAGGCTCATCATTTCTAAAATTAGGAAATGTTTTTAGATTCATTTATTCATTCAAGAACTATGTAATGGGGCGCCTGGGTGGCTCAGTCGGTTAAGCGACTGCCTTAGGCTCAGGTCACGATCCTGGAGTCCCGGAATCGAGTCCCGCATCGGGCTTCCTGCTCGGCGGGGAGTCTGCTTCTCCCTCTGACCCTCCTCCCTCTCATGCTCTCTGTCTCTCATTCTCTCTCTCTCAAATAAATAAATAAAATCTTTAAAAAAAAAAAGAACTATGTAATGAACTCCTATTAAGTGCTAGGCAGTCTCCAAGACTGATTCTATCTCAGGAATTCTAACTCCCACCCTCCCCACTCACACTGCCTTCCCCCATTTGACACAATGGCTGTTTCATGGGAATTCCCTAGGGCAACATTGGACTAGCAAGTGTATTCAGGGTGTGCCCTCACGCCATTTGATGTGGCTGAGGGGCCATGAGTAATTCTGAACCGAAACCCAAGGTTTTGGCTTATTTGCCTTGTGCTGTCTTACTTGCATGAAAACAGCAGTGCCTGGATCAGGCCTTCAGTGCAGCAGCTGCAGGATGAGGACCTAGTGAGGACCTTGCCCAGGACACTAGCCCCATGACACCGTGAGGGTATTCCTAGTCCCCAGTTAAGTCATGCAGTGCAACAAGTGGTTATACATCAGGGTGGATGATGCAAAGTACAGTGCACCGAGAACATGACAAAAACATTTAAATGACAGAATAGTATGTAGGTAAACATACTATATACTATGTAAGTGAAGGGAAAAGTAAACAACGGGGTCAGAAAGAGGAATGGGAGTTCCCAGAAGCGGGCTGGAGTAGTCAGGGCGTGGGGGGTGTCTCATGGAGGAAGTGACCAGGAGACCTGTCACTGGTTACAACAATGCAGCATCAGGGTTTGAGCTCTGCCCGACCCGCGACCCCCAGGGGCATTGGGGGCATTCTAGCTCCAGAGGACCTACAGGCTGCAAATCAGCCTGAGCCTAGCCTCCGTGGTATGTCTTCTTTGCTCCCGGGTGTGGCTCTTTCTCTGCCTCTTGAGGCTGTTGATTCTCATTTTGTTTTCCTCTGAGCTGCACTCTTTTGTGTGGGTTCACTACTGTTAGTTGACACAAATTCCTTGTGAAAATAAGTGGACTATAAATCATACTTGTTTCCTAATTAGATCTGAACATATTCAATAGTCACAGCCTTTTCCCAGGCCCTTGGGTCTTCATCTGCTCGCCAACTCCGAGATTTTTTAAAACATCTTATATTTTTAACAGTTTCAAAGAATTAGTTTGTTTTTTAAAAAGTTCAGCAAAGTCACACTTTTAATAATCTATAGAATGATCTGTGAACATTGAATGAGCAAGGTTTTACAGGATGAAGGAAGAATTGGCTTTGTGGCCGGGTTTGCCCTACTCTTTACTCACTGTTGCCCCCGTGTGGCCGCTCTCCACATAGCATGTGGCAGAATGTGTTCCAATCTGTCAAATTCAAGGGAGAAGAAGATGGAATAGGTTGGTCCCTGGATCCCCTAGCTTCTAAAAACCACCATATAATTTATAAGCCATATTCTAAATCGAGTATATCTTAACTAGATATTAGGGTTAGGTTCAGGGTCAAGGTGCATACATTAATTATGGACAGCTTTTT